GCGCAGGCAATCGGATAAATACATCGTATCCTTCCTGTGTGCTCTTTCCATCGCCGCGGCCGTCACGCAGATTTATTGCTTAGCGAACCAAGCGATGAATCCCATAGGTAAGTGACGAGGGGGAGTGGTCGGGGGTGCCGACGCATTGCCCATTCACCGTGCAGTAAAATTCGCCTCCGCAAAGTGGGCATGCTCAACGAGAGATGCATTTTTTGGTAACACTAGAATAGTTGGTTTTGTTCTTCTTACCCCCTCTGCAGACCCCAGCATATTTTTTATGATCCCCAGCTCAGTAAATTTTTCCTCACTGAGCACAATTTTTTCACTCTCGGGTAGGCTACCTGGGTTTAACGCGCCGTGTGAGCTGGCCTACACATGTGCGTAAATATGTGAAGGGGATGTAGACACATGTATAATTCATTTTTGCTTTCCCTATTTTTACCTCGTCAGTGTTGGGCATCACAACGTGCGTGCTAACTGTGCTAAGGAACCTCGTCGAGACAGGTGTGGAGCGAGAGAGAAGCAGGCGTTCATTGGTTTTGTGCAGAGCGGTTCGTTCATTTTGGTTGCACTGTTCGCGTCGCTTGCATCGTTTCCTTTATTTGCTGTGTTTCTTTTTTCTTTCAATATGCACCCCCTCAGATTACAACCACGCCTTAAACAAAATTCCGAGCAACCTCAGCGAATTTTTATAGCTAGCCATTTGGGAAAAAAAAAAAAAATTTACTCCCCAAATGTTATCCGTTACATGGGCTAATAAGCAAACTGTACAATTGTGTACAGATTTTGTCCTCTTTTGTCCCCTGTTTTTTTACGCTCATTTTTGTGAGGATTAATTATTTTATCATTCCTAATGACCTTTTTTTTCTTTTTTTTTCTCACTTCATTGCGGTTAAGTAAACTGAGGAATAAAAAATGTCGTTCCTCAAGCAGCTTTAAGCGGAACGCAAAAATTTGTGTTCCTTAAAACTTTGCCAGCCGGAGATACGTATAGTGTAATCCAGTTGGCCTTCTTTTTAAGACGGTATAATTAAACGTGCCTCTTTGAATTCCTTCAGCGAATGGCGCCACGACAACATACGCCAACGGGAACTATACATCGGGATGGTTTCGCGATATTGTGTAAATATATGTGCCACGCGGGGTGCGGGAATATGCCTGTTCCTGTGGAGGTGCCGTCATCAAATAATGGGCCCTTTTTCGTACTGTCAAAATGTGTGTTTTTTTTGGAAGGCTTTCAAAGGTAGGAAAGTTTTCGCCATTTCTTATCTTTAGCGTTATGACACCGTCAAAATGGGGGGTACCATGCGAGTGGAAGTTTGGACTGAAGATGCGTAAAAAAGGGATTGCACGGCAACCTGGATAAACGCCACGATGATTTCATGTCCTTGCTAAACGATCAATGTATGCTTAACTGAGCATTCTTTTTTTTTTTTTTTTTGCTAACTTTTGATGCATTTCAGCTTGCACAAGTTGGTCATTCACCGACAACCACTATGTGGAACGCGCTAAATTAATTAGCTTACCCATTTGTGTTCCGTGAATAATGCGGTGAGAATTGACAGGTTAACTGTTCAGACACACGGGGTGCTTATTTATCAGAGCGAAAAAAAGGCCAACGGAGTATCCGGGATGGTGTAAAGAAAAAGGTAAGGACCTCGCGGTGGCATGGGAAGGTGCCATTTGATTCCCCCCTTGGTCACATAGTTACAATAAGTGTCTGTAACGTAAGTATCGCTGATGCGAGATGAACATTCAATGACGATGGGGGGGCTCCAAAAAAAAAAAAAAAAAGAAATTTTTTTAGTTTCCTCGTGAAGGAAACAAAATATAGCTAGCAATTTTGAAATATCTTCACTATTTTGTAACTTCCTTTTGGGGAGAGCTCTAAGAGTTCCCCCGGATCACTCCTACAACATCCGTTGGCACTTCGCAATTCTACTATGTTACCAACCCTGGCTTTCTATGTCCTTCTCAATGGCGGTTATCCCCCCCAGCAATCAGCAGAGGTGGTCGCCAGCATGGTTATATGTACACAAATCCAAAAAGAAAGGGCACATTGTTAAGGCACATTGCAACGACACAGAGTCTGCTCACTAATTGGATACACAGGGAACATTGACTTGCAGCGCCCTCCCTGTAGAAAAGGGGAAATACCTGCTCTGTAGTGAACAGAATTTTATCTCCTTTTGCATAACGCCGCGTAGGAGTGAACGCACGTGTGCCCTCAGAATGTGCTCAATCGTACTGCGGTAAAGAGTGCATCTAAAAAAAAATCATTTTTGTTCGATCCTTGAACAGCTTTTTTTCCTTCCCCGGGTTGGTACAGGCCAACTGCAGCACGCGCGTGTGACGGAACGCACGAGTGGGTCACGAATCCGTTTTCCCTGCCCATCGCAGCAGTATGCCTTCCTAGTATGTAGGCTCAATACGTGTATTATGGCTCGGTTCATAATATTGCCTTCGTGCTATGCTTCATTCAACCCCTTGGGTTTCTCAGTCTGTTCAAAAATAAAGGGAACACGCATTAACGGCTAACATATATGCCATGCGGCTTTGCGAACGGAGGCGAGGCATCCCTTCTGTGCCTTTTTAAAAAAGGGGAAATTATCTTTTAGGCAATCGGCAAAAAGGGGCGCAGAGAGTTAGTCAGTCAACTTTTCCGGCGATGGAAATGGAGTGAAACCGAGGCGAAAGAATAAAATAAAAAGAAAAAAAGCATAACCGACGAAAAATAACGCTGCGCAAGATCAGTTTACCAAAATAAGTTACCAGAGTTACCCAAAGTAGTTACCCAAAGTAGTTACAAAAGTAGTTACCAAAGTAGTCACCAAAGTTAGCCAAAAAGCAAAACGAAATGAACGTTACCTAACTTGAGCCAACTTCACCCAACTTTAGCAACCCGAACGCATACCATACCGCGTAAGGCATTTCTTCACAAACAGTTAAAACCGAATCGGAAGTGTTAAGTCGAAGCAGCCCGAAGAAGAAGAGCACTGCGCACTCGCTAAACGCAATTTCCTTTTTGTACCATTCGCATATTTAAATCATTTGAGTCGAATCATATTTATATACCTACATATTTTAACTAAATGATCCATAAGTAAAACAATTCAATTTGAAGCAATTTGCAAGCAAAACACAGGTAGGAAAAAAAAAAATAAAAAGTTTTCCAAAGCAGATTGCGCTTTTGAAAAGCATTTTCACAAAAGGGACATATATTCATATGCTACGCTGAGTTTTCGTTGGAGATACCATTATTTTTTTTTTTTTTTTGGCCTACTTTATTTTACATTCTTGTTGTAGTTATTAAACCATTTGCTATTTAGCGCTGCCCTGTTCCCCCAATTTGTTACTCCTTTTGTGAGACTCTTTTTCTCCCATTTTGTCGCGCCACTTTTTTTAAACCTCCCTAATAAGGCGCAGAGAAGTATATATATCCATATGCATACATGTGTATATACCACACTGTAGGTACTGCCTCCACCCGTTGAAGAAGAATCCCTATTTCTTTAAACCAAAAAAAAAAAATCCCCCCTTTTTTTTTTAGGCCCCACTCTTCAAACAATGTCAGACCACGAAACATATGATAATATCGATGCAGGAGCATCCCAGACATACCCTGTGCAGGCAGGTGCGATAAAGAAAAACGGACATGTAATGCTAAAGGAACATCCCTGCAAAGTCGTGGATTATTCAACCTCCAAGACGGGAAAGCATGGTCATGCGAAGGCACACATTGTAGGCATTGATATTTTTACGGGAAAGAAGTATGAAGATATATGCCCAACTTCTCACAATATGGATGTGCCTGTGGTGAAGAGAACTGAGTTGCAATTGATTGACATTACGGAGGATGGTTTTGTGTCCTTACTATACGACAACGGAGAGACGAAGGATGACTTGAGCTTACCAAAGGACTCGGATGGAAACCCGGATGACGTAGCCAAGCAAATTCGTACCCTTTTCGATGGGGGCAAGTCTGTCTTAGTCAGTGTTTTGTCCGCATGTGGCCAGGAGAAGATCATCGCGGTGAAGGAGTTGTCATCTTAGGGTTAGGGCCCTTTCTTGCTTTTGCTGCCTTCTGTTCCGCGTGCTCGTGCGCCTTTGTATGGGCCTACGTCTGGGCGTGCCTCTACATGCGGCTTTACTTTCTTCTGCAGCTTGTGCGTCATCTATACACCCTTTTGCACTCGCCGCCCTGCTTTTTTACACTGAATCCTTCTTACACTGAGTCTTTCTTACACTAAATCCTTTTTACCTGTGCGCTACACCCACTTTAATGCTGCACCTCTTTGCCAACCAGGCACGCGCACATAAATTAAACTATATGCAGATTTAAAAGAGGATAATACGAAAATTATTTTTTTGTAAAGTCATCCTGATCATGAATGGGATGAACTGGATAGGTTGAACGGAACAGAGCCGAGCGCATCGGACTGGCCAACGAGCGAACTGTTTTCCTAGCTGCTTCACTCATTGGTGCGTTTTTGTGCCACAGGAAAAAAATTCCCTCACCTGTTTCCCCCTCTCCCCCACATACGAATAAGCCAAACGAACACACACTTGCGTGCATGCGCAACTCTTTAACGCAATCAACGAATTGTGCGGGTAAGCGGCATATCTGGGTGGACGGACCGTATCCATAGCCGTGCCAATTTGGCCTGTGAATTCCTGATGCCTTTTCTCCGCGAGAAAACAGGAAGTGGTATGAAAGCAGAGAAAAAAGGAAAAGTTTTTTTTCACCCCCCGGTGTGTGCAGGTGTACAGTTGCAGCCACTCATATTGGGGCGAAGGGCAAGCGGAAGGGTCAAAAAAGTTTTATGCGAAAAATGCTGTTCAAATGGGGAAGATATATTCTCATCGTTTGGGTTCTGCAGAGTTGCGGAGTAGCAGGCGCATAAGGGAGTTTGCCAATGTCTCCATCGCCCCAGTCACCACTGTTACCACAGTTACCACTATGACGCTGCTCCAGCCTCCGGCCTCTCACGCGGGGGGTCTCAGCCCAGCATGGTCTCAATCCCGAACTCGTTTATCTCGAAGAAGCATAACTTGGGTTTTCGTTTCTTCCTTTTTATTTTTATGTACCTGAGGTTGTATCGTTTTTTGAAGAAGGCACCATTGGCATCTTCGTCGTCATCGCTCTGGTCGGCATGGTCACCAGGATCATTATCACCGGCGGGATCGCCCTCCTCGGCGGGATCGCTATCATCGACAGCTTTCCCATCGCCCGCTGCGTCGGCACTGCCTGACAGGTCGTTAAAGCTCTGTTCGCTTGACGAGGAGTTTTCGTTCCCGTCGCTGCCGCTGTTGCGGTTACTGTTGCGATTTGTGTTGTGGTTTCTGATCATGCTCCCGTTCACGTGCACGTTGCCATTTCGGTTACCGCTCTCGTCTTGGTTACCTTTCCCGTGGCCACGTCTCGCCTTGCTTTTCCCCTTGGAAGGAAAGTAAAACTCGAAAAGTTTCTTCTCGTTGATGAATTTAACGAGCACATGGCTGTACACATATTTGGAATACAGATGGAAGAACCTCTCTTCTTTTTTTTTAAAATATTTGTTGTCATTGTTCGTAACGAGGACACACACTTTATTCTCGGTGGATAATTTAGACAAGGTTTTCAGCAGCTGCTTTAGTTCGTTTTCCCATTTGTTCTTCCCCTGGGGGACTCCCCTGTGTACGTAATTCAGATTATCCACCACGAGTACTCCTAAGTCGGAAGGAACGTATCTGCTGAAATGTTTGCTCCATGGCTGTTGACACTTTTGCAACTCGCTGTTAATAAAATTAACAACGTTTATCAGCTCTCCAAAATTAAATACTTTTAAAAGTTGGAAACTTTTGTATACATCTGAGAAGGTGATACGATTGAGGTACTTGTCCAGGTGGTGGTTAAAGATTTGTATGAGGGGGTCATATGATAAATCGTATTTCTTTCTTAGCGGTGAGAGAAAATCCTTCAGTTGTCTGTCACCTTCTAGTAGTAGCAGGAAGAGAGAGCATTTTCTTTCACAGCAGAATTCCTTGTACGTTTCCATTAGCTTTTTTATTTTTTCGAGCGAGGCGCGGATCATGTTTTTGTACCTGTCGATGTAGAAGCTGTTGTCCAGGTCGACGTAGATGGCTCTGCGTTTGGAGAAGCGGTGGGGGCGGAGAGGGGAATGGCGGCGAAGGAGGCCGTGGCTTCGTTTTTCCTTCTTGCCATATTCGCCAGGTTCGCTTTCTCTCTCCTCTTGGTCATCTCTCCCACTGTCGCCGCCACCATTGCTGTAGCCACCATATCCCTCCCCCCCATGTGACTGGACGAACTGCGCGAACAAGTACCTCACCAGCTGCTTAAACTCGCCGAAGTTTTTATTCCCCATGGCGAACTCTGTCCCCACTTGGCGCAGCCGATTAGCCGTCCGCAGGCAAAATTTATTTTCAACATTTTTTTTTTCCAAAAATTGTACAAAGTCGAAAAAGGCAGAGTAAAACAGGTGGAAGTAGTGGAGCACGTCGTTAAAAAAAAGATTCACACAAATGTGTGCACATAAGCTACTTTTCCCGCTGTTTCTCCTCCCCGTAATTGCATAGATCCCTCTTCTGACGTATATGCCATCACATAATGTATTGAATGTGTATATGTTTGTGTATATTTTATCTTTTAATTCTTCCTTCAACTCTTTTACATTTTTGATGTCGACTGGACTGATGTATCCTTTGCTGACGATGGGTCTGAGGACCCTTTCGTTGGGGACCCATTTTCTCCTTATCATGCTTGATGGGATATAAACTTTGCTTTATCTGGACCCCTCCCCTCAACCTTTTCATATTTCTTTCCGTTTGAAGAAAGTTTGTCACGTCACCCCTTTGGGGCGTCTACTTCCCTGTCCCTCCGTTCTGCTCGTTCTTTTGTCGCCCCGTTTGTTATATGTTGTACCTTTTCTGTCACTTAGTGAGTTCCATTTTTTTGCCACTTTTTTTTTGGCGGGCCAACATTTTGACTAAAAAGTTACGAAAAGGCAAGATAAGAAAATGTCGAAAAAAAGAAGTGGGGAAAAAAATATCGCAAAAAACGTCGCGAAAAAAATGTTGCAAAAAAAATCGACATTGAGTGAAACAGAGATCAGGCGTTTTATGCCGCTCAATTGAAGCAGCGCCGAAATGGTAAGCATGACGCCGAGGGGTGAAACAAAAAGGAATGTGGAAAGGGAAAGCAAACCCTTTTCTACCCAATTGACCATTCCTGGATAAGAAGAAGTTCACCCTTTCTGTATCCCTCCAAACAGTGAACGGAAATAAATGAAGAGCAGCCAAACGGTGGGCTGAGTCCTCATTAGGAAGGCTTCCATTTTCGTGTTACATGTTTGGTAAGGCACACATGCTGCAATGGGTTTTCTGAGACAGAGTGGAGATGAAAATATTCCACCATCAGGTTGGCACACACATAAGGTTAAATTGAACAGGTGTGTGGATGAGACATGTGTATACACTGCCCATGCCCATAAAGAGGATCGTTGAGTGGAGCGGCGGAGGGCCACTCCAGGAGGGCCTCATCCATTCTGCGAGGGTCCGTCACACAGCGTTAGCAGCAACACACTGGAAGAATGAAAAAATTGGTGGATCAGAATTAAAGGCAGTGCCACTTTTTTTTGTTTTTTCTTTTTTGTAATTTGAAAGAAGAAGAGGCAAAGTCGCAACGACCCCCCTTTTTTTACTTTTACCTTTTTTAACTGTATTGTATGCTCTCATCGAATGGATTTGTTTGGAATAAACTCCGGGCATAGTTCCTGCAAGGGAAGGGGTAGGGCAGCACAAGGTAGAACTAGGCGCGCCAGGGCTGTGAGGGGAAGACTGATAAAACCGAAGCCAAACAGTGAAGAGCGTGAGAAAGAGACAAACCTCTTTAGCGTCAATTCTGGAGAGGATAAAATTGGAACGGAAGGAGAAAAAAGGAGAGCTCTTGGCAAGAAGAGGGGCTTCCTTACTGAAAGCGTAAAGGATGAGGATAGTTCCGGGGCAGACAGGAAGAAGAACAAAAAGAGGAAGGTGAGGAGTAAGTGCCTGTTTAGTAGCATCTCGGATGGGGGAAGCCATAAAAGTGAGGCAGGAAAATTGGAGGAGAAAATGCCCCAGGGGAGGAACTCCAACTGTCTGTTTAGCAGCGATGAGGAGGAAGCAAATCGAGGGGAGACAAGCCTCCAGGGTAGAAGCTCCAATTGTCTGTTTAGCAGCGACGTGGAGGAAGTAAATCGAGGGGAGACAAACCTCCAAGAGAGGAGCTCCAACTGTCTGTTTAGCAGCGATGAGGAGGAAGCAAATCGAGGGGAGACAAGCCTCCAAGGGAGTAATCCCAGCTCCCTGTTTAGTAGTACCTCTGAAGAGACCCCCCAAAGTGAGTCAGAAGTGAAAGGAAAGAACAAAAGTAGAAATGGAGAGGGTGCAAAACTTCAAGGCAGAATGTGCATAAGGGAAGGAAATTTCCATCTTAACATGGGCGAAAAAGAGAAAAGTAAAAGACAAAAGAAAACGTCCTCCTTTGCGAACTTTGGATTACACAGGAGGGCTAAAATTCTAAACAGGTGTCGCTACCAGACGAATGGGGGTAGAAGCACTCGGGGCAGAAGTCGAAGAAGGGGAACCCCTTACTATGACCTGCATGACACGAGAGAGGAAGGGATGTACCGCTTAATAAGTTTTGAGAAGTTAAAAAAGAGAGCTTCAAGGAAGTTAAACTTTATGAGCATAGTTGATATGACGAATGGGGGCGGCGACTCGTCTGGGTCATCGTCTCGCTCGTCAGTACGTTCATCAGCATGTTCGTCAACACGCTCGTCAGCACGTTCGTTAGTACGTTCTAGAGAGGGTGTCAACCCAGGGGGCGATACAACCGACACCACAGCAGACTCGGAGGAAGATGTTTTAAACCGTACGGGCGTGAGCTACGTGGCGTCCAGCGAATCAACCAAAGAGAGCAAAAACGACAGTGCAGCTCTGAATGACGAGAGAAATAACAACAAGACCATCGACGTGTACAGTTACTACTACCTGGGTAGTGACGTGGACAAGTTGGTTCCGTATAAGAATGTCGAAAAAATGGAGGACAGTGGAAATTGCATTGGGGGTGATAATCTATATGATCGTTTGTTCGGGCTGGATGGAGGGGAAGTTACTTCAGGCGGGATGCATAGAATAATGAGTAAGGATGAGACCCCAGAACTGCACAGGGGAACATCCTTGAAAATGAGGCAGCCGCGAAATGAAGTAGGAAGACGAAATAATGCCATGCTGCAAAGAAATTTAAGGTTGTATAGAAATTTTAAAAATATAAATGTAGAAGTATCACGACAGAATAACCTCAAAGGATTAAACTTCAAAGAGATGGTCGTGAATTTCATTCGGCTCGTGAATAAGAACATGCTGGCCATGAGCGAACGCGGAGAAATGGATCTATCACAGGAAGGGAACCATTCCCGAGAGGATTTCAAAGACACTAGCGATGTAGAAGAGTGGTATGTTACCAGGGGGGACGTCGCCAAAGGGGAACAAACACAGACAGAGCCATCTTTGCAAAAGGCAGAAAAACAACACACCCAGTTGGAGCTAGCTAAATGTGTGTGCATTTTCTGTTTAGAGAAGAAAAAAATCCTCACAAATGAAGAAATGCATGTAAGTACATTTAAGTATATGGACGAAAGAAAAAAAGAAGACACAGTGATCAAGCCATTTTTCATGCACAGCTATGTGTTCACTGCGTTCATCAATTATTTTATTCACTACGGGAGGGTTGCATGTGTGCAGAGGGGGCAAACTGTAAAAGGGGGGGGAAGATCAGGCGGGGAGAAACCAGCCTGGGCAAATCTCCAATTCTACAAATTTGACAGGAAGGTAACCAAAAAATATGGCATTAAGCGAGTAATTCTTTTTGTGGCCAGAAGAGTGACGCTGACAAGTGTAGGTATCCACATGGAAGGGTCAAACATGTTGCAGGAAAACGAAGAGTTTGTTGTCGTTATTAACTTTTTTAAGTGGAGAATGATGCGAAGACGTTACGAAGAGATTGTAAAATTAAAGAGGAGGAAAAAAGAAAAGGAAAATTTGAGCATTTTAAAAACATTTATTTTTCTTGTTAAAGCGATTGATGAGTATTGCATGCTGTGTAACATCCGAGTGGATCAGCCCAAAGGCAAAAAAGACTTTTGTGAAAGAAAAAGAAGACACATGAGTCAACCAATTTGCAAAAAGGAGGATAATACCCATCGAAATGGGTGTAGCACCTTGTTTGGCCATTCTTATTTTTCCCATAATCAGGTGAGGGTCGGCCAAATTGAGGACGCGCTAAATCAAGACTTGGCCAATTCGCCCCTACAATTCGCTATCGTCGATTCTCTGCGCGTCTCTGCGGGGAGTACGTTCTACCTCTTCCCCGCGCATATGCTTGTGCTTATCTGATGAAGTGGAGAAGCGTCATCAAAGCAGAGGATTGGTCTTTGTTGAGGGGCGTTTTAGTTTTGCTTTTTAGCCATTCTTATCTTGTGAGCTGTTTAAATTCCTGCTAGTACGGAGTACCCATCCCGCAGAAGAAGTGCAAGCTTCAGTTTCGCTCCTCGAAAAGGAGAAATATGGCTTGGAGATTACTCTAACCGAGCTGTGCCCACCCAAATGGAAACAGACACCATTTCATTATCGCAACTGCAAAGAGAGGGGCAGGGGGGCAGCCATCTCCAAACTGTGTTGTCCATTTTGTTAGCTTCTTTTTTCCCCTGAGCGAAATATGAACACAAGAGAGTGGTACAATGACAGGATAATGAACGTGAAGAGAAAAGAGTGCCGCTTCCAGTTGGGCTCATATCAGAGCACGATGAGGAGGGGACGATGACGAATGAGAACAGAGACAGACAAGTTTACAGGCTGCCACATGAGAGAGGCACCCGTGTCTGTGAGGAGAACGAACCCGTGATGGGGTTGTACGATCCGCTCATTTTCTGGGACAAGTAGTTTCTCCTGTTGTTCACGCAGATCTGAAAAAAAGGGGGGAAACAGAGAAGAGGTCTGCACGTACGTAAGCCAGTACGTATTAACGTATCTGTCTGTATGCATCTTATTTATTTTTTTTTTTCCTCCATGAGGGGATAGGAAGCCGCCTCACGCATCGATTGTTACATTCTTTTTCATTTCCATTTTGATTGACTCGTCATAATTGAGGTACCCATGGTTGATGATGTCGTGTTGGCACCTGCGGGGGACGCACGGAAGGTACAGGGTTGGCTACTTTCCGTGGAAGGAAATTACACATGTTTTCATTCCGTTTGCTCAGTTGCTACTCAATTGGGGAGAATTTTTTTTTTTTTTTTTTTTATTCCCCCAGGTTGATGCTCCAGAATTACTTAGTCTTATTCTTCTCGCTTTTGAATGGCATTTTTTGCAGTGCGCAGGTTTTCTCCTTTTCTTTCTTTTTGGCGACACGGGAGAGGTGGGGCGAAAGAGCGGCCATGTTGTAGGTGACGTAGGTTGCGGCATCCAAGGGCACATGGTTTGAAATTAGAAAAGGGCCGGGGAGGGATAAATGAACCGCTTCACCCGACAAATAAGGCACACTATTTCTCGGTGCACATATACGTGCAGTTACCGATTGACAACCGAATGCCTCACCACGTTTTGCTCATATGTACATACATACTTGTGCATTCACTTCTGCGAGTTTCCACCTGTCTTCATTTCTTTGGAGGTTCTCCTTCCTGAGGCGAGTAACAGGATGGTGACGCGCGCAGTTGTGTGTACTCTTGCACGTGGGTGTGTTTCTCCACCGGGATGTTCCTCAGCCACGTTGCACTGCCTCCTTTCCTACCGCCTATTTTCAATTTTGACGAAGGACTTGAGTTTTTCTCTCTCTCTGGTTTTGTAGTCCTCGAAGGCTGCTTCGTTTTTCCTGAGGTACGTTTTGTCTGACGGGGGAAGGTGAAGGCCTTTGACTTGGCTTAAATTGGTTTTAGCAGGTGCGAACGTGAAGTAGCACAGATGTGAAACGGTGCACCCCCCCGCCCCGCAAATTACCCTGCCCCGTGCACGTAACATCAGCTATTACATTATCGACCACATTATTCTTCACATGCTTTTCATGTCTTTGCATTAATCGTTCCTTTTCTAACACGTCGCGATACATTGTATTGAAGGAGGTGGAGACACCCAGAGCGACGAAAGGTTTTTTAAGATGAACTTGTTGCTCAGACGTGGGGCGAAAAGGGTAGATGCGTTTTTTTTCCTTTTCCTAGATCCAAGAGATGCATGCTGTTTCCTAAAAGAACGTTCGATGAATCTGTAGCGAAGTCCGTCTCGAACGTCCTCAGGAAACAAAAAAAAAGAAAAAAAAAATTAAAATCCACTGGGTTAGAAGTACACATGTCGTCACCGCGGACGAATTGATAAAATGTCTCAAGAGAAAAAAGTGAAGAAACTTCCAAAGGGAGTGATTCTCTACTTATATTTTTAACGAATCGATTAAATCGATATGTTATCTTTCAGTTTTTTTTTTCTTTTTTTTTTTTGCGCGCGGTTGAGCTTGTCTCTTCCGTGAGGGGCATGCGTGTATAATACATTTGGGAGTGGCGCGACGTGTATGAAGTTTCATTTGGGACTTGGACCTGTAGATTCGGGGTGGACACTCGAACGTGAAGAAATCGTCGTCCGGCCGTGAAACGATTCTGACCTATATGTGGATAGACAGCATGGAATTAGTAGAATGCCATCCCGAGTATGCGCTTAAACTACGCAGTGAGGATGATCGGTGGGGGAGAGAAACGCGTTGGTGTGTAGAAGTGGAGATGGTACTTAGTGGCTACTCTATGGTGCGCTTCCCTGTGTGGTAGCTTAACCAGAAGTGTGTTTGCTAACCCTGCGTGTCTTATGACTGATTTAGTCCAAACGGTATTTTCAAGAATGAAGAAACCCGTGCCGATTGATCAATTTTTAAGCATACAACAGAATTCACAACTGAATGAAGAACAAACCGACATGTGTGCTTCACTCCCAGAAGGGTAGACCATTCCTTGGCAAGTCTCTACATTTGCGAAAATTTAAAAGAGGTCGTGCAGAAAATCTATTTGAATCTTCATGTTTCAGTTCAGTTCAGTTTTTTTTTTTTTTTTTTCTTCTTTTTCTATGAAGCCCTAATGTTTTGTCACTCACGTTCAGATTCTCCTCACTGGAATGCCGTCAAGACGAACGTTTCTAACCATGGTCAGACGGCGCAGATCAGACGTGATTCCCATGGATGTATGTCCTTACCACTGCTGCACAACTTTGAGAGATGGCCCTTTAAGGGGGGGAAGAAGATATGTCCGGGCATGGGGAACGACAAACAACGGCAGTAGTACACCGCAAAAGCTGCGCCATGTAAAACAGTAAAGTCGTTAAAAGGTGTCGTTGAGCTGTTAGAAGGTTCGGTGTAACGAAGATATATCTGCATGTGTACACCTTTAT